CGCACCACCACAATTCCAGAGCCCCTTCATAGGGCGGAGCTGTTGGGCAGGCCAGTGGAAAGCGTCTGCGCCAGAGTTGTCCCAGGTAGGGACAGCGAGGAGAGGGAGGCAGAGTCTTCATGCCTATTGAGCTTCCAGGTTTGGGTAAATGAAGTCTGGGTATCCTGGCCCCGCAGGAGTCTGAGATTCAAAGGAGTAGCACCTAGGATGGTCTCTGCTTTCACAACGGGTCCAGAGTAAAGCAGCAGCTCTTCCTGCTTTTGCTGGCTGCAGGAAGGATAGTTTACCCATATTACATGATGGACCCTGCTCTGTTTGCAGGAGGGGGTCCAGGAGCTTTTCATCAAGTACTCTGCTTGAAAAGAGGTCCCTGGGAGCCTCTTTTGTAGGCAGCCTGGGGTAGAAGGCTCACTTGTTTCAGATTTTGTCACTGAATTCTGCTGGATTTTACAATACATTTCAATTTATCTGGAAACAATTGGTGAGGGGAAAAATTGAATGCCAGAAATAATGGTTAGAGGTATTCACAGATAAATAACACAGAGTTTACCCCTCAGGATTTTAGTCTAGAGGGGCAGTCGAGACAAATGCTGTTTCCCATGGGAAGAATAAGATGATCTCTGTTTGGGGCTTTTCTCCCTGAGGGACCTCAGAGGTGCTTCTCTCCTCCAGAGATAGGACTGTGGCTTCTGGATGAGTGGGTGTGGCATCGTCCACCAATTTCCCTTTGTTCTACTACTTGCTAATGTCAGCGAAAGCCCGGCTCCTACCAGGGTTTTTCTCAGGCTCTAAGGCTGGTGCGTTAAGGTTCTCCCAGCGGCTTGCTTCAGCACCGCGGGCATGGACAGCTCCGGGGCGCGAGGCTCTGGAATTTTATCTGCAGGAAGTGAACCTGGCTGGAGCCTCGCTCTAGGTTTCATTCAGAAACCATTTTGCAGTTGGAGATGGTTTGTGAGGAAACAAATCTCTGTTGTGGGAATATTATGTGCCTCTAAAGTAGCTTCTGTGTTGTGTCTCAGGTGTCCTGGTCCTGTCCTGGTATCCACCTGGCATGGCTGATGATAATGGGGAACCTTCAGATGACCTTGTGCCCGCCATTCTGGACACTGCCCATCAGTACAATATCCAGGTAAGTCCTCAAGAAGAGATCAAGTGCTCTCTGGCCCATTCTGGAGATTTCCCCTCTTCTGCCCACAGGGATAGTGCCTCTACTGAAGTTCTTGGCGCTAGCCCAGGTATGGCAAATACATAGCAAGTATGGTGTTGGGGGTGGGGTTCTAATAAAGAGTGCCTATGTCACTCTTATTTTCTTCAATTCTGAAAAAAAAAAGTTCAGAAAACTAAATATAGGAGAAATGGGAGACTAAATATCACAATAATAGAAGTTAGGTTCAAGACCCTGACCCTGGATAGAGGGCAGCCAAGGGCCGAATGGGCCCACAAACAGCTTCAGCCTCAGCTCCCTAGTGGGAGGCAATGCTGGGCCTCAAGGAGCAGAGCTCACACGTGTTTTGACAGGCAGGCTCACTTTCAAGAGGAATGATGCAGCTGGGCTAAGCATGTCCAGTTATTTCCCTCAAATGTAATCAAGTAAGTCATTCCCCTCTCCTGTGGCAAAGGAAGAAAAACAACAGAGTGGAGCCCCACTCCTGTCCCTGAGCCCATCACCAATATGTTTAATAGATCGTAGCACATTCTCCTATTAATAAAGCTTCAGTATACTTCTTCCCATAGTTCAGGCAGCTAGTGCTGATCACTTGGAGCTGGCACATAAGTTGAAACCTATTAGCCATCAGATTGATTCTCATATGCTTAGCTGTGGGAGGTGGGCAAATTTCTTGTCCCTCTTTTTTTGGCTCTGAGGGCAGTGGCTTTTATTTCTATTGTGCCCATCATTGCTAGACCCTCTCCTGAACTCAGCCTCTCTTCCTGGCCAAGGTTGGAGCACGAACCTTGTAGGTTGTGACCCCTGGACAGATATTCACCTGACCAGTATCTCGTTTGTGGCAGGTGGCCTTCCACATCCAACCCTACAAGGGCCGGGATGACGTCACTCTGCATGACAACATCAAGTACATCATTGACACGTAAGGCTGCTCTGGGGCCTGGATTTTGTTGGGGATCAAAATAGAAGTATGGATAGATGGCTTGGATGGGCAGGTCAAGAAGCACAAGGGCAGAATGCCTTGTCCCCAGCAGCTATTTTATAGGAACAGAGTACCGGGCTTGGAGTCAGCAACCTGGGTTTCAATGCTGGTTCTGCAGCCTCAATCTGTGAGTCTGATGAAAGTCACATGAGTTAACATATGTGAAAATGGCTTGTACAGTGCTTGCACGTATCATTCATTCAATCAAAAAATATTGACTGAGTGCCCTTAGGTGTCTAGGTACTCTCCTAAGCCCCAGTGGCACAGTAATGGGTAGGACTAGCTAAGTTTACATTATTGTGTGTTGGAGGTGCAGCGGAGCAGACAGTAGTTACACGTGGAAAATCAAATAGTGATCCATACTATGAAAAAGTAATAATAAAGAATAAAGCATGGTATTGTGTTAGAGTGTGTCTAAAAAATACTTTAGAATGGGTGATCAAGTGAGCTCTCCGAGGAGATGACATGTGAGCAAACACCTAACTGAGGAGTTGGCTCTGCAAAGATCTGAGGCAGGCAGAAAATTCCAGGCAAAGGGTTGTCAGATCCAAAGGCCATAAGATGGGACAAGCTTGACAGCAGAATAGCAAGGCCTGTATAGCTGGAGTATAGAGAAAGATAGGGTAACAGCAAGAGTGGAGGTGAGGATATGGTTCCATTGTATAACGGTTAGCACGTCTGCTTTACATGCAGAAGGTCCTGGGTTCGCACCCCAGTAGAGCCACGGTCCATTGTCTACGGCCATGCCACCCTGAACAAGCCCGATGTCTGATCTCAGAAGCTAAGCAGGGTTGGGCCTGGTTAGTACTTGGATGGGAGACCACCTAGGAAGACCAGGTGCTATAGGCATAAGTAATAATAATAAGTAATTAAAAAAAAAAAAATGAATGGAGGTGAGCAGGCCCTGAGCAAGGTGAGGCCTTGCAGGTCTTGGCAAGGAGCAATCAGTTCTGATTTACACTTTAAAAAGAGAATGGATTATAGGGAGGTAGAAGTGGGAACCTGGAAATGTTACATGGCTGTTACTGCAGTCCAGATGAAAAAGATAGGAGTGGCTAAACCTATGGCAGAGATTTGAATAAAGGAATGACAAAGCTGGGGAGAGGAGGGAAGGAACTAGGTTCTTGCTTAGAGACATGATGAGTCCAACTGTGCAGACTGGCTGAATCTAAAATTGTGCTCTGGCATCAGGGAAGTTCTCATTCACGGCTGGTCCTACAGCTGTGCTGGCTTCTCCCAGCCTAGGCTGCCAACTCAGGATCTCCTTTTTCCTGTTCCTCAGGTATGGCTCCCATGGTGCATTTTACCGCTATAAGAACAGCATGGGTAAGAGCCTCCCACTCTTTTATATTTATGACTCATACTTGACACCACCTGAGGCCTGGGCCCACCTCCTGACACCAAATGGGCCCCATTCAATCCGCAACACACCCTATGATGGGGTCTTCATAGCACTGCTGGTGGAGGAGGGCCACACCCACGACATCCTGACTGCTGGATTTGATGGCATGTATACCTACTTTGCCTCCAATGGTTTCTCCTTCGGCTCCTCCCATCAGAACTGGAAAGCTGTGAAGAACTTTTGCGATGCCAATAACCTCATGTTCATTCCCAGTGTGGGGCCTGGCTACATTGACACCAGCATCCGGCCCTGGAACAACCACAATACACGGAACAGGGTCAATGGCAAGTACTATGAGACAGCCCTGCAGGCAGCCCTGACAGTGAGGCCTGAGATCGTCTCCATCACCTCTTTCAATGAGTGGCATGAAGGTACCCAGATTGAGAAGGCGATTCCCAAGAAGACACCAACTCGTCTATATTTGGACTACCTGCCTCATCAGCCCAGCCTGTACCTGGAGCTGACTCGCCGCTGGGCAGAGCACTTCATCAAAGAGAAGGAGCAGTGGCTGATGTGAGGGGCCTGCAAACAGGGGCATGGTGCTGATGTCCCAGCCTCACTGGCAGATGTCACCATGTGGGGCTCAGCTGAGGTTGTAGGCACTCGCTCATCTTCAAGTCAGCAGCTGGGTGCTTCTGGGTGGGCCATCAAGCCTGGGTCCATGTTCCTCAGGCAAGTGGTGCTCGGGTGTTCTGCAGTGACAGGAAACTAGGCAGTGTTCCAGAGAGGGAACCATAGAGGCTGGCAGGTGACTGGAATTAGCCTGGGGCAGCTCTACATCCTGTCAGAACACCTTAAAATAATCCCTTTTAGCTTTGAACTCAGCAGGTTGGTGTGGTGTAGTGGAGCTGACAAGTCACTGCTCTTAGAAAGGTGTCAGGGTTCTGGGCTAGCATGCACCCTGCTCCCTTCTGCCAGCCTGCGTCATCTCTTCAGGCCTCCTTCCTACATTGTCTCGGAGTTCTCCAAGTTAGGAAACCATATTTGAGACTTTCTAAAAGGGAAATTCTATAGTTAAGCCCTTCCCAATAGATTCCTAACCCAATTTTCAGGAAATAATCCTGAGCATTCACAGTCATTCAACACAGACTAACAGAGCACCTTACTATGTGCGGGGTGCTGGGTGCAAATGACCAGGAATGGTTCCTGTCTTCCTGGTGCTTACAGGACCCAGCTTCCCTTATTTGATGTGGCCTTGTAGCTAGTGCTGGAGCACAGCTATAGGTTTTTCCTTCTTTCAATTTTACCCAGTGCTGGGAGTTCAGTTCTGTTTCTTTTAAGAAAATACCTCTGTGCTCCAGAGCCTGTTTTCCCAGATGAACATTTAGCTCCAGGGAGAGGATTAGGACACCCCCCTCCCTTTAGCTGCCTAAACTGAATGAGGCCCATTCACAAGGGCCATTTTCAGTGCTACTGTGATTTGTATTAATTAAATGACATGGTATTCTCAAGTAAGCATTCCTTTGCTCTTCAATACTTCACAAATTCTGACCCCTCAGATCCTGACAAATTGACGTTTGGGTTAGCTAATGTTAGCACAGTAAAGAGTTGAGTTTGCTTAAGAAATTAGTAGTTTAAACAGGACTTCTAGAGGGAATATTTAACAAACCACTGCTTCTTTATAAATAAACTAACATGCTAATTGCAGAGACCCTCAAATCAGGCCCTGGAATATCTTCTTGGCAAGATTCTTAGGATCTACTTGAAAATATGTGTTGGAAACCACTGTACTAAGTAGTTTATGGGCTCAAGACTGAATCCCAATTCTGGGAACTGGTGTGCAAGGGTGGAGGGGAGATAGTGGGCCCTACTGGGCACTAAAGGACTCCCACCTGCAGTTAGGTAACTGATACTAAACCCCACTGATGGATGGGGTAGGCCTGGTCACTTTACTTATGACTTAGCTGGGGAAAACAAGGCAGGCATGACAGGTGAAAAGGGCCAGATAGTGACTTGTAGTAATTTACAGAAGGGAGTAACACTGAGGCCCCATTTCACATATACACAATCTGAAAAATACTACAAATATGGCAATGCCCTAGGCAACAGGGGCAGCAATTCTCACATGTTGCTGATCGCAATGCAACCTGATTCAGTTCTTGTTAAGGCTAATCTGTATCAAGAGCCATAAAAATGTTCATATACTTTGACCTAGTAATCCTACTCTAAAGAAATAATTCAAAGAAAAATAAACCATTTACAAACATGTTTAATAGCAGCATTATTCTCCAAAGAAAAACAAAATTCAAATGTCCAACGATAATTATGTTTAACCTTGGTATATATATGAATACAGGTAAAGGCTGCTGAGTAGATACTGGATTTAAATAAAGGTGTTATAGGTATAAATAATTATACTTTATTTTATGAATAAGAAAAGTCACAGTTGAAAGAGATAGTAGAGATTTTCTAATATTCTTTAATTTGGACCTCACCTTGACAACTGAGCTGACTTCCTACCATTACACCAAAACAATGACTCTCTACAAGCCAATTACAGCATGCCACACCAGCAGCCTCTGGTTCAGAGGAAATAGTGTTTGGTCTGTGGCTCTACAATCTTTATCCTAACCTGGTTCAGAAACTCATGACTTTGGACACTTGAGACTTTTAAACAGCATCAGCTGGTGCTTTAGCTCATTTGGACATTAAATGGCACTACCTACCAGAGAGGAGGCTCTCACTAGATTCCAAATCTGTTATTTAAATTGTATTTCAACAATCAAAAAGAAACTCAATAGAATAACAGCATCCTAGGAATGTTTTTAAAGTCTCTATTCAGCTTTTAGCTGATATGTGAAATTACAGGTAATAACTGTA